CCAGAGGACCAGACTTAACTTTTTTTAGATTTTCTGCCTGGATTATTGAGCATGCATCAGGATATCTGCAACTCATATCAAATGTTTCCGCAATGTATTGTTATGTATGTGCCTTAAAGGGTTAAAGTTTCAGGTTCCAAAGAGGAGTGGGGATAAGTCTGTGAGAAGTGCATGTGTGGAAGAGACAGAGGAGGAGCACCAAGTGATGAAGAGCCACAAATATGCTGTCATTTGCTTGTGTATTGTATTCATCTGCTTAGAATAAGTTATGGACAATTTACTTATAGCCTGTATATTCAACTCATTTGCAAAACTTCACTTTCTCTGGATGGCATTAATCTGGCCTCCAGTTCTAAAATAAAAAATCTTGGTGCAATTTTTGATCAGGACATGTCTTTTATCCCCCACATTAAAAACATTACTAGAACTGCCTTCTTCCACCTGCGTAAATCACTAAAATTAGAAACATCTTGTCCAAAAATTATGCAGAAAAACTGGTTGATGCATTTGTCACGTCTAGAATGGACTACTGCAATGGTTTGTTTTCTGGATGTCCAAATACTTCTTTAAAATGTCTTCAGTTGATCCAAAATGCTGCTGCCAGAGTTTTAATGAGAGAAAACAGGAGAGATCATATCTCTCCTGTTTTAGATTCTCTCCATTGGCTCCCAGTCAAATCCAGAATTGAATTTAAAATCTTACTTCTAATCTACAAAAGCTCTCAACAACCTAGCTCCATCTTAAATTATAGATCTTATTGTTCCATACTTTCCTAACAGAGCACTTTGCTCTCAGATTGCTGGTTTACTTGCGGTTCCTAGAGTTTCCAAAAACAGAATGGAAGGTAGATCTTTTGGTTATCAGGCTCCTCTCTTGTGGAACCAACTTCCAGTTTTTGTCCATGAGGCTGACACATTGTCTAGTTTTAAGACTGGGATTAAGACTTTCCTTTTTGCTAAATTCTATAGTTAGGGTCAGCTTGGGTTTCCTGAGCTGTCCCTTAGTTATGCTGCTACAGGCTTAGACTGCTGGAGGACAAACTGACCACATTTCTTCACTCTGCTACTGTCTTTACTTACTCTGCTCAACCTGTTTTGTATTTGTAATTATTTCTCTATCCTAACATGTGCTTTTGTTTTTCAGGTAGACCTGGACGTATACCTGGACCTACATCTGGACCTACCATTCTGTGTTCATCTGTCTCTCCTTCCTGTACATCATAAACATATATACATTAGTAGGATGCAAGTGGAGTGCTACGTCTGTAGCATCTTAGCTCAGCACACACATGTGCGTGCACACACACGACACACATCATTGTGTCCCCCCACATTATGGATGCTTCTGATGCCCTTGGCCTCAACAAATGTCAGAAAACTCGGTATTGCGCAATACACCTGGTATTACGCAATACACCCGGTATTGCGCAATACACACCCGGTATTGCGCAATACACCCGGTATTGCGCAATACACCCAGTATTGCGCAATACCGGTCACTAGTGACTAAATTTGCATCCTGAGATGACTTATTTTTGTGACTTAGCACTATTTAAATAAATTAAATTGAATTGAAATGCCCTCCCTGGGCTGCCACCTTACTGTGGTGGAGGGGTTTAAGTGTCCCAATGATCCTAGGAGCTATGCTGTCAGGGGCTTTACACCCCTAGTAGGGTCACCCAAGGCAGACAGGTCCTAGGTGAGGGTCCAGACAAAGTGCAGCCCAAAGACCCCTATGATGAGTAAAATAAATGGAATTGATGTTCCCTCGCCCGGATGTGGGTCACCGGGGCCCCACTCTGGAGCCAGGCCTGCAGGTGGGGCACGCGGGCGAGCGCCTGGTGGCTGGACTTGTACCCATGGAGCTTGGCCGGGCACAGCCTGAAGAGGAGACATGGGTCCCCCTTCCCATAGGCTCACCACCTGTGGGAGGGGCCAAAGGGGTCGGGTGCAATGTGTGATGGGTGGTGGTCGAGGGTAGGGACCCTGGCGGTCTGATCCTCGGCTACAGAAGCTGGCCATTGGGACGTGGAATGTCACCTCACTGGTGGGGAAGGAGCCTGAGCTGGTGTGTGAGGTTGAGAGGTTCCGGCTAGAAATAGTCGGACTCACCTCTACGCATGGCTTTGGCTCTGGAACCAGTTTTCTTGAGAGGGGCTGGACACTTTTCCACTCTGGAGTTGCCCCTGGTGAGAGGCGCCAAGCAGGAGTGGGCATACTTATTGCCTCCCATCTTGGTGCCTGTGTGTTGGGGTTCACCCCGGTGAATGAGAGGGTGGCCTCCCTCCACCTACGTTTGGGGGGATGGGTTCTGACTGTCGTTTGTGCTTATACACCAAACGGCAGTTCAGATTATCCACCCTTTTTGGAGTCCTTGGAGGGGGTACTAGAAAGTGCACCTCCTGGGGACTCCCTTGTTCTACTGGGGGACTTCAATGCTCACGTGGGCAATGGCAGTGAGACCTGGAGGGGTGTGGTTGGGAGGAACGGCCCCCCTGATCTGAACCCGTGTGGTGTTCTGTTGTTGGACTTCTGTGCTCATCAGGGATTGTCAATAGCGAACACCATGTTCAAGCATAAGGGTGTCCATATGTGCTCTTGGCACCAGGACATCCTAGGCTGCGGTTCAATGATCGACTTTGTCATTATCTCATCTGAACTGCGATCACATGTCTTGGACACTCGGGTGAAGGGGGGCGGAGCTGTCCACTGATCACTACCTGGTGGTGAGTTGGCTCCGATGGTGGGGGAGGATGCTGGTCAGACCTGGCAGACCCAAACGTGTTGTGAGGGTTTGCTGGGAACGTCTGGCAGAGTCTCATGTGAGACGGAGTTTTAACTCCCACCTCCGGGAGAGGTAGGGGACATTGAGTCTGAGTGGGCCATGTTCCCTGCCTCTACTGTTGAGGCGGCTTAACAGAGCTGTGGCCGCAAGGTTGTTGGTACCTGTCGTGGCGGCAACACTCGAACCCGGTGGTGGACACTGTCGGTGAAGGATGCTGTCAGGCTGAAGAAGGAGTCCTATCGGGCCTTTTTGGCCTGTGGGACCCCGGAAATAGCTGATGGATACTGGCAGTCCAAGCGACATGCGGCTCGGGTGGTCGCTGAGGCAAAAACTTGGGCATGGGAGGAGTTTGGAAAGGCCATAGAGCATGACTTCCGTACAGCTTCGAGGCGATTCTGGTCCACCATCCAGCGTCTCAGTGGGGGAAAGCGGTACGCCACCAACACTGTTTGTAGTGGGAGTGGTGCGCTGCTGACCTCAACTCGGGATGTCGTGGGTCAGTGGGCAGAATACTTTGAAGACCTCCTCAATCCCACTGGCATGTCTTCCACTGAGGAAGCGGAACCTGGGGACTCTGGGTTGGGCCCTCCAATCTCTGGTGCTGAGGTCACCGAGGTGGTTAAAAAGCTCCTCGGTGGCAGGGCCCCAGGGGTGGATGAGATTCGCCCGGAATTCTTTAAGGCTCTAGATGTTGTAGGGTTGTGTTGGCTTACGCGACTCTGCAATATTGCATGGACATCGGGGGAAGTTCCCCTGGATTGGCAGACTGGGGTGGTGGTCCCCCTATTAAAAAAGGGGGACCATAGAGTGTGTTCCAACTACAGGGGGATCACACTCTTAAGCCTCCCTGGTAAGGTCTATTCGGGGGTTCTGGAAAGGAGGGTCCGTCGGATAGTTGAACCTCGGATTCAAGAGGAGCAGTGCGGTTTTCGTCCTGGTCGTGGAAGCTCTACACTCTCAGCATGGTGCTGGATGGTGCGTGGGAGTTTGCCCAACGGGTCTACATGTGCTTTGTGGACTTGGAGAAGGCATTTGACTGCATCCCTCGGGGAACCCTGTGGGGGTTACTCAGGGAGTATGGAGTACCGGGCCCTTTCATACGGGCTGTTACAGTAGGTCCCTGTATGACCGTTGTAAGAGCCTGGTCCGCATCTCCGGCAGTAAGTCGGGCTCGTTGCCGGTGAGAGTTGGACTCCGCCAAGGTTGCCTTTTGTCACGATTTTGTTCATAACTTTTATGGACAGAATTTCTAGGCGCAGCCAAGGTGTTGATGGAATCCGTTTTGCTGGCCTTAGGATTGCGTCTCTGCTTTTTGCAGATGATATGGTCCTATTGGCTTCATCAGATCGTGATCTACGGCATTCGCTGGAGTGGTTCACAGCCGAGTGTGATGCGTCCGGGATGAGGATCAGTTCCTCCAAATCCGAGGCCATGGTCTTGAGCCAGAAAAGGGTAGAGTGCCCTCTCCGGGTCAGGGAGGAGGTCCTGCCCCAAGTGGAGGAGTTCAAGTATCTTGGGGTCTTGTTCACGAATGAGGGAAAAATGGAGCGTGAGATCGATAGGCGGATAGGTGCAGCATCTGCAGTGAAGTGAGTGCTGTACATGTCTGTCGTGGTGAAGAGAGAGCTGAGTCAAAAGGCGAAGCTCTCAATTTACCGATCGATCTACGTTCCCACCCTCATCTATGGTCACGAGCTTTGGGTTGTGAACTAAAGAATGAGATCTCGGATACAAGCGGCCGAAATGAGTTTTCTCCGCAGGGTGTCTGGGCTCTCCCTTAGAGACAGGGTGAGAAGCTCGATCATCCGGGAGGGACTCAGAGTAGAGCCGCTGCTCTCCGCGTCGAGAGGAGCCAGTTGAGGTGGCTCTGGCATCTGTTTAGGATGCCTCCTGGACGCCTTCCTGGTGAGGTGTTCCGGACACGTCCCACCGTGTGGAGGCCCAGAGGAAGACCCAGGACACGCTGGAGGGACTATGTTTTTCGGCTGGCCTGGGAACGCCTCGGGATTCCCCTGGAGGACCTGGACCAAGTGGCTGGGGAGAGGGAAGTCTGGGCCTCTCTACTTAGGCTGCTACCCCTGCGACCCGACCCCAGATAAACGGAAGAAAATGGAAGGATGGATGGATGGAGATATGACAAAAATCTGAATGGCCAGTATAAAGAATCGGCAGCAGGAATGGGTTCTAGTGGGTTTAAATGTGTTATTGAACCTCACCACTGGTTTCCAGGGAAACCGGGAAGCACGGCACGGACGGACTTTACAAAGTCGGGTTTCCATTTGCAGCTTACAGGTTGGATTTTGGTTTGAGACCCGTGTTGAGACCCCAGCTCCGCAGCTCTGGGAGCAGGCACTCCATCTAGTGCTCTGCTCCACACAGGTGGACGCAGGTGAGACCAGGTCATTTAAAAGGTGCTTCCTTGGAAAAGTTGGCCACACTCTGTTTCGCCTCATTGCTGAAAAAAAGAAGGGAAAAAACAGTTGAGTCAGGAAAATGTTATAAATTATACTCAAAGGTCATTTTATACCAAGTTGGTATGCTGATGTGCATAGCTTAGTAATGAGAAATAATTTGCTTTTCAAAGAATTGTTGACTTCAGTCCAATGAAAAGACTAATGCCATTAAAACTTCTTTAACAAGGGACTAAAACCTGCCACAATTATTATTTTTTTTTAATTTAGTGTGCAACTTACCTTCTGTAGTATTTGGGTCTTATTGACCCTGACTCTAATTTTAAGTTAAAGTGTTCCCCCTAGGTCTGCAGGATTGGGAACAGCTCACCTTTTCTTTCATGAAATATTTTCAGAAAAAAACTTCATCAACAATAACATTTCATAGGATATCCTGATGCATGCTCAATAATCCAGGTAGAAAAATCTAAAAAAGTTAAATCTGGTCCTCTGGACTTTAAACAAAAAACAAAAAAACAAAGCAAAACAACAAAAAAATCTAGAAACGTTTCTACATTTTTTTGTTGTTTTGCTTTGTTTTTTTTGTTTTTTTAATGTCCAGAGGACCAGATTTAACTTTTTTAGATTTCATAGGATAATTTTAAAACCAACAGGGGAAAAAAATACAAGGTAAAAAGATTAGTAGCTGCCTCTCAGTCTGATGTCCAAGTTTGATCAAAAATTAAACAATAGATTTCATGTTTGAGGCATTTTTGTGAATAATAATTTGTAGCCACAGCCTGCTGGATATAATGTATCATCATTATACAATTTGAACATTTGTCCAATCACAGCCAGTGATCGATACTGGAGATAATCCCAGCTCTGGGAGTATTGTAAACGTGCTACCATAGGCAAAAACACAAAATTAACTTTTATTTTGTGGTCCAGCTTAAGAAAGAGAGTGATCAGAAATTGCATTTATCATTTCTACCCAACTATTTGGTCAACATATTAGGATTCCTGTTTTGTTTCCTTGTTCTGTGTTTTTCTACAAACCATTCTAAGGTTGTTTTCACACCTGATAGTCCGGTAGACACAGTTCGGTTCGGGACCAATATTCATGACCTTTTGTTTACATTTGAGCTGGTGCGTTTGCATTCACACTGCACTGTGCAGTCGAGTCAACTTGTTGAACCAACCTATTCCCCCACTCGCCTGTGGGGGCACTGCACCAAGAACTACTGAAAGAAACGACACAAAAACGTTGGTTACGTACTGTAACCCCAGATTCTATGAATACAGGCGTAGCCCTTTAAGGCTGTCGCTGATGGATTTTATCCCGATATGCGAAGCATTGCACTGAAAAATTTAGTCCACGCCCACCTGCTGTGTGGGCCCCACCCGGTCCGTATAAATTACGTTAAGAGCGGGTAATCAGCTCCCAAATAGCTTTTTCTTCAGCCATTTAGGAGACAGTGAGGCTCGAAGCTTAAAGGGCTACGCTTATATTCATAGAATCTGGGGTTACAGTACGTAACCAACATTCTATTTCATATAGGCTTCGCCCTTTAAGGCTGTCGCTGATGGGTTAAGGGCGAAGCGGATATTGTCCTTGCCTCACTGGGTCCATTCAAACACCGTATGAAGCAGAAGCTTGCCCAAAAAACGTCTTGTCACTCAGCTCCCCATGTGCGTAATTACGCATTGTGTAATTATGTGTGCCATGCATAGACGCATGTTGTGTAACTATGCGTTCTGAATGCATGAACGCCCCGGAAAACTTCAAAGGGATGGGAAAAAGCTGAAAAGAGTCATGAACCAACCGGTTTACGGCTGAACAGTATAAACAGATTAATAATAACAGGAGAGCTGATTATTAATCAAATGAACTGATTGGTAACAATAGTCATGAACTGATTAGTAACAATAGAACCAAAATAACAATCACAACTTGTGACTGATAACAACATCTCACACTGTAATGCATGCAGACAGATGTGAGTAAAACAGAGTTCCATGAAACAACAATATTCATTCTGTAAACACTAAGGACAGAATGTGTCATGGAACGAGCCATCACATCACATAAATAAAAGTGAATGAATGAGCAGGGTGTTGGCCACACGACCGCAGTGCAAATGTCCTGCATTGTCATACCATTATGCAAAGCATTCAAAGATGCGATACCTCTGGTCGAGTGTGCTCTGAGGTTGACAGGAGGCTCTAAATCTGATGCTCTGTAGGCTTCAGAAAAGGCCTCACACAGCCAGTGTGACAAGCGCTGGGTGGATAACGGGCGACCTGCAGATGCATCTCTATAATGCACAAACAAATGTTGACTTTGACGCATTGCAGCTGTGTAACACGTCAACGCCCACACCGGACAGAGAAGATGGAAAGATGCTACTTCTTCTGATCTGTGGGGGGAGGGAAAAACCCCTCCAACGATATCGCTCTTGATTTAAAAGAGCTCGTGATGTTTTTAGGCATAAAAGCTGGGTTTGGTCTTAAATCAGCTGAGCTGCCGTCAGCCTGAATTCTGAGACATGACGGAGCGACAGAGAGGGCAGATAAATCATTCACTCTCTTAGTGGATGTTAAAGCCAGCAGCAGGGCTGTTTTAAGAGACAAAAATTTAAGTGGAACTTGATCCAGAGGCTCAAATGGAGCTTTGATCAGGGCCTGCAGGACCAACGTTAAATCCCACTGTGGAACAAGTGGGCGTGAAACAGGCCTGCGTCTATGTACACCTTTTAGAAAACGCTCATCAGCGGATGATTAAAAGCTGTTCTGTCTCTGAACCCTTTGTGGCAGGAAGAGATGGTTGCAGCTATGTTTTAATCATGCTGAACGCCAAGTTCCTGTCCATCAGCTGTTATAGAAAGGACAGCATGCACACTAGTGGACATGAGGTGGCCTCTACACCCTTCTCTGTACACCAGCGCTGAAAAGCTGTCCGCTTTGATGTGTACAGCGCTGTGGTAGATGCAGCACGTGAAACCTGAATTGTGCGCACTACATCCTGTGGGAGACCCATCCTCTCTAAATGGATCCGCTCAGCGGCCAGACCCACAGGTGCTGGCCTATTTCTGGGTAACTCCTGATCGCTCCTCCTGCCTGGAGGAGAGCGTCCTCCCTCCACGGCAGTTTCCACGGGCGCCCCGACAGCAGGCGTTGCAGGACTGGGAACCATGGTGCATTCACGCGCTCGGGGGCCACCAGGAGAGCTGTCAATCCCTCCTCCTGAACTCGGTTCAGGAACCGTAAAATCAGAGGAGGTGGAGGAAACGCGTACAGAAGTGTTTTGGGCCATGGGCTGTGGGCAAACACATCCACCCCCAGCGGTGGTTCGTCTCGCGGGCTCAGAGAAAATTATAATTGACACTGAGCATTTTCTCGTGTCGCAAATAGGTCCACAGCTGCTTTGCCAAATTTCTGCCATGTCTGAACAATAAGATCTGGATGGAGAGTCCAGTCCCCGTGACGTGGACCGCCCCTGGACATCACATCTGCCCCTTAGTTCAGAACACCGGGTATGTAAACTGCTCTGATGGAGAGCAGATTTTGGTGTGTCCAACACAGTAGTTTTCACGCAATGTGTAACATCTGGGCTGCCCCCCCCTCCCCGCCGGTTTATGTACGCAGCAGTCACCTTGTTGTCTGTGTGAATCAAAATGTGTTGATTCTGCAGCACAGGCGCAAAATGTTGAATCACGTTCAGCACCGTGCGACACTCCAAAACATTTATGTGGGCTGATGTGTGATGGGGCCACAGCGCCCCTACAGCTTGAGATAGGCATGTCCCCCCCCAGTCTGACAGTGCCACGTCTGTGAAGACTGACACGTGTGACGTGGGTCTGCTGACGGGGACTCCCTCCGACAGAACCAGGGTGTTTCCCCAGTGTCGGAGGTCTGCCCTCACGGAGGGAGGAACAGTGATCATCTGTCTCTTTTGTTTTACTGGATCCACACGCAGACGCGCAAACCACCTCTGGAGGCGTCTCGTCTAATAAACCCAGCGGGACAACTGTGTGAGCTGATGACATCGTCCCTAACAGCTTCATGACGGAAACAGCTGTTATCACTCTGCCAGGTCTTATGTGGCGGAGCTGGTCTTCCAGAGTGTCGATTCTCGTTTGTGATAAATGATTCCTCATGGTGGTTGAGTTTAGCTCCACTCCCAGATAAACAATTGTCTGGGCCGGGAAAATCGAACTTTTCTTCCAATTTATGGCAAAGCCCAGATTTAACAGGTGTGATGTCAGCGCCTGGGCCTGTCTCGTTGCCTCCTGTCTGGAGCATGACAGCAGCAGCAGGTTGTCCAGGTAAAACAAAACTCTCATCCCTGCTCTGTGTAAGGTTGCAGGGCCGTCTCCACACACTTTGAGAACGTACGAGGTGTGAGGGAATAACCGAACGGCAGCCTGTTTTAATGATACTTCATCCCTTGAAAGGAGAAACGCAGGAATTTTCTGTGTTTTGGGATGATCGATATGTGAAAATAAGCATCTTTCAGGTAGACAGAAACAAACCAATAATTTCTCTGGATGTTGTCCAACAGCTGTCTGGTTGTCAACATGTGAAACGGTCTGTCCATGAACGCCTTGTTGAAAACGGACAGATCCAAAATGGGTCTCATCCCTCCAGTCTGTTTGGGAAACAGGAAGTAACCTGAGTAAAAACCCTGTGTTTTCCTCTCCGTTGGGAACTCTGGAGATTACTTATTTTACCAGAAGTTCTTGGACTTCTGCATTTAGGGATGGGACCTGGTCTGGTGATGATAGGACCATCTCTAAAATTCCTCTGAACTGAGGGGGTCGGGTTGCAAATTGCAACGTGTAACCCTAGCTTAACAACCTGGCCATCCATCTGTCTGGTGAGCATGTTTTTAGCCACTCCGCGTAAGGTTCGTGGAGTGGATGTGCGTTTAAGTGATTCGTCATGTTTTGTACGGATGCCATCCAGTCCACCGCCTTGACCGTCGTCATGTGTCGCGGGAATGTGTTCCATGAGACCCAAGGTGAGGCTCCTCGAAAAGGCTCTGAACGCGCCTGTGTGCTTT